AAAATTGGTAAAACTGCTAAAGGTAGCAAAACTAGAAAAGTTAATAAAATTAATAAAAGGTAAGAAAATTAACAAAAGCAAAAATAAAAAATAATCTTATATATATATATAATATTATTATATATAATATTTTTTGATTAATAACCTAATTTTATTATATTTAATCTATTAAAAGTTAATAATATAATAATTATTTTTTTTTTTTATATTCAAGATAAAATAATTATTTTCTTAAAATTATTAATAGTTAATAATAATTATTAATTATTTGGTTAAGTTATTAATTAAAAACTAATTAATAATATATATAATTAGTATTTCTAGATCTGATTTAAGTAGGTCTTATTAATATAGTTTAGTCTTTCCAAAATCTTAAAAATTTAATCTTTGCTATATTTAATTTTCTTTAGAGGTTTTAGCTTATTAGAGTTTTACCAAAGTTTTGATATTTTATTAGATTTTTACTAGTTTTACTGGTTTAGTTTTGACTTTTGCTATTTAACAAAAATAGTTTTGATTAACTACAATATTTACAGTATTAATAATCTATTAATACTATTAATTATAGTAACTACTACACCTATTACTACTATCACAATATCTAATATTATACCTGATGCATCTAATACTATATTTAAACTACAACTCATATGCCAACTATTATAGCTACTACTATTTCATCTATTGCTACATTAGCTACTACAGCTACTAAGTTTACATCTACTGAGCCTACAACTACTGAGTCAACAACTACTGAGCTTACAACTACTAAACCTACAACTACTACATTTATTATTTCAAAAATACCCAAAAAATTAGAAACAGTTGTTGGAATTATAAGAGAACTCAGAAATAAAATTGATGTCATGATGGATTTGTATAATAGTGAAGATGAAGACTCCAATTATAGATAAATTATATTTTTATTACAATTATAAGATATAATTTTATTTATATTATAATTGTTAAGCAAATTAAAATTTATTTAATATTATATTTATTTCATATTTTACTATATATAATTTGTATTGTAAAATTGCAATATATATTTAATTTTTTATAATTATTTTATAATCTTATATATTGTAAAATTAATTTAGAAAAAGTACTACCACTAGTTCAACTATATATTAATTGTAGACATGTTTCTAGATAAGCAACAAAAGCAAATCAAATAGTAATAGAAAGCTGGTATAAATATGCTATTAGTTACGAGCAATGAGTAAAAAAGTTTTTAAATAATGATTGAAAACTTAATCTTAATGCAGAAAAAACAATGGCTTATAAAGAAATTATTAATCACCTTCTATATGTTTCAATAGATGCATTATAAAAAAGAACTCAAAGAGCCTTTGTTATTATTTATAATTTATTTAAAGCAATTGGTTTTGACAAAATAGAAAAAATTAAATTATATACTGCTAATCAAATAGCTGGTCTTCTAGCACACCATATTAAAATGGTTAAAAATTATACAAATTATAAACAATAAGTTATAAATTATAATTTATAACCCTTAATTTTTAATTTTTTTTAAATAAATTTTTAAACCTATTTTTTTTATAAAACTAGTTTAAAAAATATTAAATCGAATTTAATTATTATTGTCAAGTTTAAAGAATTTATTTATTGAATTTATTTATTACAAATATAATTTGTTTAAAAAACAAATTGTAATCTTAGATTGATAGTTGTAATAATAAAATAACTTTATTTACAATTTTAATATTATTTTAAAAATATATCTTATTTTTGGTACATATCTAATATAAAAGTTCATACATATATATGTACATATATGACTAAATAATCAAAGCAAATATTAATCTGACAAAACTATTTTTATCCATATTAGGCTTAAATATATTTCTTTAAAAATCAAGCCACAATAAATTTAAAACATGTTCAAGCAACCTTAATCAACATATCTAAATTTCTATTGATATATATTCAATAACATAATTCATATTAACTTTAGCAAAGTTTTATTTGTAGTTTATATTATAATTATGCATACATATACTTTGATGTTATAAATCTATAATGATAAGATTGAAAATTATAATGTCTACAGGATGTAACTTGATTTAAGTATAACAGATATCAAAAATATAATTTTTAAGAAAAATAGACTATTTATGATTTTAATAAATAGTTTAAGATATAGTAACATATTGTATTATAGCATAGTATACTACATCAAATGATTAGGCTTGAGCTAGCTCACAATAGCTCGTTGGCTTAGCTTAATAACTATAGCAAAGCTAGCTCACTATAAGCTATTTCTATCTCTAGATATTGGTTACACAATATTGATCTACAATCTATTTTATATAAATTCAGAAATGTTGATCCTCTATCCTTAAAGCATTTTATTTTTTTTTATTCATTATTAATACTAACACTAACACTATTTTTTACATAGTTGTAAAAATAAAAAAAGTGATTTAACGGTTAATATTAATCTTAAAATTTTTACAATTAAAATTTTAAGATTTAAGCTCTTAAAAGAGAAATCTTGAACATCTTTATTGGTGGACAAAGAAGTAAACAGTGATCAGGATTGGGTAAGTAATGATTCATAATCATTACTATTATTGTTGTTATCATCATTTTCTTTGAATTCATTATTAATTTCATTTATTTCATCATTAACTTTATCAGCCTGATCATTATTATCATAATTTTTATTAACGTTGCCTCTATTATTTTGATTGTCAGCTTTACTATTGTTATACTTTTTTTTGTTTTTAATAAATATTATCATTATATATTTATAAATAAATATGAAGCATTTTGTGAAATAAATATCTTTTTGGTGCCAGGTGATACAACTAGTTTGGCAATTGTAACTTATTGATGTTTATTTTACATTCTATACATATCAGTTGGTTTAGATGTCATGCAGATTATTTGTGTAAAATTTTTAATAGTAAATTAAATAATTGATACATCTAAATTTTATAAGTAAAATTTAGACAAATTTTGTTTTCTAGGCTTATTTAACAGTAAAGAAGTTGTCAGTTTAAGTTCTAGGTATCATTTTACAAATTCTCTGATATTTGAAGATTCTTTCTATGAAATTTCAAGGGTGGTTAAAAATAAAACCCAAAAGAATCTTGATCACGAAGTTAGCCAATTTTTTGATGATTTTTACTATTTTCTTATAAGTAATGCATGTTGTTTACCCAAAAATACCCAAAAAAGGTAATGATAAACAGTCAATTAAATTTATATAATTGACTGTTTATCATTACCTTTTTTGGGTATTT